CACTTTTTCAGAATACTTACACACCATTATTAAAGTTAAGCCAACTGTACAGAGAGTGTGAAATTTCCATGACACTAATTGACAACTCAACAGTACTAACTTGTGTTATTTCAGTCTTCACATTAATCAACAATTTTCACTTCAAAAAAAAAAGTTTCACGTTTTCTTGTGATTTCTTGAAATATTTGATTGACAAAGTTGCAAAGTCTGGAAGTGATAAATGTATTGTAGAGAGAGAATGATAAATTCTAATTCAAGTTCTCCATGGCTAGCTGTTAGTATAAATAATAGATCAGGCAGCTAGTCAGTTTGTAGTGAAGCAAATCCAATATTTGCATTATCACTGGAATCCATGCGTGGCTCATTCCCTTACCAGCTGTGGTCACGCCATTTAGAACTGCAAATGAGTCAGATAATGGTTGATGCAGTCGGTCATCAAAGTCCACTTAAAAACACTGCGTTCAACTTGGATGCATAATCTATACGTTGCATCAGTTCCCAATATAAACAAATCATTAGCAATTTTTACCATTCCAGCTTACAAGGTTGTTGCGGAAGAACCTTTTTGTTGTATTTGCAAAACTAGTTATACACAGCGCTTGGTCTCTCTTGACTTAGTGCATTTGTGTATCTCAATCTATAGTGTTCTCCTCAAGGTGGAGTTGGTTCCAGGACAAAGCATCTTTCTGGCTGCTAGAGGAACATTCATTCCCAGGATAGGGATGATCTCAAATCAGCTAATACGGATTTCATTGTTCTTCGTTTTTCCAGACGTTTTAAAAAAACGTTAACGTAAAAGGTTTCTTCTTAATGGTTACTAAAAAAAACTGTCCCTCGTGTAAGTTTTAAAAAAATTGACTGAGGGAAACCATTCCCCCAAAGTTGGGGATTATTATTCCATACGACATGCATTTTTAAAAAATAGTTTCTAGTTGTTAAGTTTTTTTTAATTATCACCAGTGACAACTGAGAAATGGAAAGTGTTTAGAAATATCACAATTTTGACCCCACGGTGGAAGTAACTGTGTTTCCGAATTGTCTCAAAATAGTTACCAACACCATTCCTAAGGATGTCAGTTACTGCTTTTAGGTGTCAATCTAATTAATATTGTCCATTTTTTCCTTCCAAGATGGTGACTTGCTGTCATCAATAGGATAGGGCCTGTCACAAGGCACAAATGCAGATTAGGATCAGCAGTTGCTGTATCTCGCTCAATTGCATTGTTGCTGAAGGAGGAATGAGATCCAGGCCTTTAGTTTTGAATGTGCTGTGAGAATATGAAGTGCGCCACTTCAAAAGTACTTCAAAATCTCTGAGAGGAAATGTGATTCACAATCGCAGAGACGTTCTTGTCAAATCTGAGATTATTATATAAGCAAGTGGTATCTGGGTAAAGTTTGTGGTATTAATCAACACAGGGAACATGTTATATAATGCCACAAACTTGAGCCCATCATTTTCAGTGACTGACACGTGATAAACCACACAGTCAGTTTTTTACACCAGGTTACCAAGCTCAGGATCATACTAGAATTATTAGTGTTAGGTTCTCCTGATACAGCTCAGAGTAGCTCAATTTCCCCTCTGATTTACACCGAGGATTTGCTGATAAGAATAGCTAGCCTGGTGTGACACACACAGATGGATAGGGTAGTAGCTGTAAGAACATCAGGATCAGAACTCTTGAAGGTGAACAGGGAGATTTACACCATTTCCAGTACATTTCCCTCTAACGTTTGTAGTTAGATTCCTGTAAAATTGGTAAAGCACACCCGGTGAATTTTCAACATATTTTTTATGTTGGATTGTATTGGTCTGGAACAATTTATGCTCTTGAAGTTGTATTTGTTTTTGAAATTATGAAATCTGCATTATCAGATACCATTTTGCTATAAATTCACAGTCACTAAAGGCCCTGTATCAAATGTAAGGATTATTATTAATGAATAGAGTGAAAATTAGTTGTACTTGTAGCTTAGACTTGCATTACTTTGCAGTATCAACACATAATATTACAGCACCACACAGACAAAGGGGAAATTAGGTGGAAGTAAAAGGAAAAGGGAAAATGAATGTATTCTAATAATCATTCATTTCTGAAATCTAAATGACAAAGAACCTGTCAGCGACCATCTCTTCATCCAACAGCTTAGGCATTGTGAATTTCAAAGCTATAATTGTAGAAGAAAAAAGATATTAGTCATGACCTTCAGCGGAAACCCAAATGAGGAGACTTCTTTCACTTAGTTTTAAGATGAATTTAATGAAAGTTTTTCAGATCTTACCTTGGAAACCATTGCAATATCTGCAGAAGACTGTCAAGAAAACATTTTTTTTCCCTCAAAGGAGCAAACACTTGCCCTTGCACCTGAAAGCAACCGGTCTGATTACCTAGCTCCTTGCTTGTTCATTTCAATCTAAGCCCATAATGTAAGAGAGCCTGATCCTGTTCACTCAAATAAAAATAAGCCATCCATTTTGTCGAATTGGTGGCCGTTTTCTGTGTGAAAAAAGAAACTGGCAGAAGTCTTTGGATGGAAATATGTGTAGTTGCGTATGATTATGAACTCAAATGCCTCGTTCTATGTGTGATATAAAAGCTCACCCTTGCGTTTAGTTTTCGTGTTCATTTGATCAGTTGGGGTAGCATTTGGAAGTCTTGGGTGCAAATTATTTGCTGATGCTTTGTTTTATTTGTCGTTCTGCTCTGTTTGTTGATCTTTGTGAGCTTAGAACTATATAGAACATCTTTGCAGCTGCATCATTTAATATCACCAAACTCAAAACACTGCAGATGTTGGAAATCTGAAGCAAAAACTGGGAACACTCAGCGGGTCAGGCAGCATCTATGGAGAAAGGAAAGTGAGTTAACGTTTTGGGTCCACCATCCTTCATCAGAACGGGAGCATGTTGGAAGGGAGAGGCTTTTAAGGACTAACAGAGAGGGGGGAGGCAGGGCAAGGAAGACAACGGAGAAAATGGGATAGTCTTGGAGTTATTGGTACTGCATTATTCTTTCAGGTATTACCATTAATCTATTTTTTGCAATAAAAGATAGAAGCCTCAAAGGCATTCTGTTCTGACTATACAGAACAAATATTAATTGCCTTTAACCCAATTCTGTGCTTGATATGGATTGGCAAACATCCCACTTTTACATCCAGTCTAGCTATGATAGGCAAGCTCAGTAAAACCACTGTATGCAAATAAAAATAACATTGAGCTGTGTTATGTAAGGCTTTTAAATTGCTATATTTGTCAGTATTGTTTAAACCTAGAATAACTAAATTCTTCACGGTGGAGCAGCAAGAACAAAATGCCTTTATTGCAATCTTAAAATTGATTGTTTTAGATCTGCAAGTTAATTACCAGTTTACCTGTATACCAGACTGTTCACTTCAAAGGAACTCTTTGTATGACATGCTTTTTTGAGATATTTTGGCTTAATAAAGACCTTATTGTTGCAAATAATGTAAAAGCAAATTTCTGCATATTTTACTAATATTAAACAAGAGGCAAAATTAAGATCCATCAAATAAGAAACACTGTTTACAAAAGACCCTGAAAATATTTTTGGGTTGTATATATATTTGTTAAGAAGATGGGTCCCCAGTCTCAGAGTTATTGATACTGTACTATTCTTTCAGGTATTACCATCAATCTATTTTTTGCATTGAAAGATAGAAGTTTCAAAGGCATTCTGTTCTGACTATAAAGGAAGGTTTCACAGCGCATTCATTATCAGAAATCCATGGAGATGGTTCTATTGTTAACATACATTAAAAACTTGCTCTTCGCATTGAGAATAGTTGAGACAGCACTGTGCAGCTTCTGTGAATGTTCTTGAATCTGGTATAACTAGTTTTGCTTTGTGAGCAGAATGTTGATGTAATTTGCTCGAAGTCAAAACCCTTTCGCAATTTATTCCAGGAAGATCTTACTTAAAAAGAGAATTGAATTGTAATATGATCATTGTACCAACAAACAACAGTCAACTTCAAACATCCACAAGTAAATTTATATACTTACATTTTATGCACTTATTCCTGATTTAGGCTACTTTTGAGTAAATGATACCCATATCAAAGTAAATACATATATTTCTTTATTTCCAATATGTCAGTAAACTAATGTTTTGTTCAGCAACAGAGACGAGTCAATGACTAGTCCTACTTAGCAAATGCTATCTTTGATTTTGAGTCTTATATGAGTAATTCTGTTCCTAATGTCCTAGTAAAGACACTGCGTAGAATTTCATCATACAGATAAAGAGAGTATCCATCATGTGCTGATTCTCAGTCAGATTGGCATTTGTGGTTCAGTTGACTTTAAGGACTGGGTTACAGAAGGTCACAATAAAATGTATTCAAAATCGCTATCCAATGATTCCTGCCAAAAAGTTCACATGTTTGGACATCAAATGAGGGTGAGATCAGGCTCAGTTATGATATCTGTGCCCAGTCTCAAACCTGTTGATGTTTACTGTCTAGAGTTACACATGAAGAACGGCCACAATGGTGAGATACTGGAATGTAGCTTGAGTCATACAAGAGTTCCTTAGGAATGAGTCAGTGCCTTCAGAAAAGGAGGAGAGAAAAATAAAATAATTTAACACAAATGATTGATTAGTGTAACTTTTGGTTATTCTTCATCATGATACAACCTTAATAGGAAGTGAGCTTGACATTAAATTAGTCCATATGTTCATTATCTTCAAAACCTTTGTGTTTAGAGGGTAACTGCATTTGTTCTGTTTTTTCTGAGCCCTATAGAACTTAAACATGGACGATGAGTATCTTCAGTCTGTGTAGCTGTGGGAAAGAAACAAAAACGTTCTTGCCAGTATCACACTTGATGATTGTATATACATTAATCGAAAAGATAGGCTGTTGATTTTAAATTTGAATGCATCTGTTTACATACCCCTACAGTTATGGAGTGTATTATGTATTTGCTATGAAGAGTGACCTTAAATATGATTTTCAATTATTTCTTCCAGTACATTTGATTCCTCTGAACCAACCAAAGGAGGATGGTGTGGTTGTCAAGAATCGGAAAAGAATAATGCAGGATGTGTACACTGCTCCCCCAATGTTGGACCCAATTTATGAGGCTTATGAATACTGCAACATGCCAAATAAAACTGATCATGGTCTGGAAGGTATGATATGAATGAGAACTTATCATTTGGAAAAGCTACACTACATGCTTCAAATTTTGATTACATCAATGTTGCCTGATGTTGCTAATTCAGTGTACATAGTTGTTTGATAAGGAAAACAGTATAGATTGACTGATTGGCATCTAGACTGGAATAGGGGATAGAAAGCTAATAAGTAGTGATCGGTAGCCCTTCAAATTCCAAACATGTAACCAATAGAAAACTACTATTTTTCTCATATTCCGTTCCAGGTAAGGTTTGTGCAAGATTTTATATGTGTGCACAGTATTTTACAATAGGACTCATTCGAATTGGTTCATCAAATATTAAATTATGAATAAAAAACAAACTCTTTGAATTAAGTTATTGTGTTGGGACACATCTCGTCACCATGCTGAACAAAATTCAAGGTTTGGTTTACATTAGTCACTTAGATTAAATGGTTTGAAACAATAAATATTCATTCCTGTGTACAATTTAGAGATGTGCAGTGACATTCCCTCTCAAAATGACAACAATAATGTCTGTCATCTTCACTTCTTCTCCTTTACATGAAGAATTGACTTTTGAATTATATCCGTATCATTTATATTTTGGTGATTTCATTTTACCAGGCTTCCCTCTCCTTCCCTCCTCCTTACCTTGACATCCCATTTGAATCCCTCTACTCCATTCCTCTCGTGATGGTATTAACTTACGCTGTGATGTGGCTCTGAGGCAAATTTTTACCTCTATTGACAGTACCATTCTTGTCTTTTCATTGACCATTTTCTTAATCATTCTCAGCCTTTAACCTGTAAAATAATTGCTTCTGTTTTTTTCGTACATCACAAGTGCACAAGAATGATTTGGATGAAGAAGGCCCTTCGGTCCATTTCATCTCATCCTTCCAGAAAACCCACTCTACCATCTAACTATCACAGCATTAAGCTGCTTTTTAAAAAAAAAATAAGTCTGTGTGCTGGCCTCAACCATCCTGCCTGGCAATCTGTTCTGGATGTTAATCTGTTTCTCATTTATTTGCATACATGCACAGTATTTTTAAGAGGGTGAAGATTTTTAAATTTAAAGTGCAGAAAGCACAGAGCACTAATCTGTCATCTGAATCACAGATGATGGATGATCTATCCACATATTCTCCATATTCAAGGCAATCACGTTCACCTGAAAAGTAGTTGATTCTTCTTTGCTTTGGGGAAGGCGATCAGTCTCATTTTTTGCCATCACCATGTCCATCCTCAGTGTTTAATGTGATTTGATCAGCTTGACTAGGCTAACTGCCTGCTCGCTGGACTTCCCAACTCTTCCCTCCTGCAGATTATTCAGATCCCTGCATCTCATTCCCTCTCCTTGCCATCCTTTTGATGGCAAAGGTGCAATATACATGCAATTTGTTTTTATTGATTTATAGTTGATGGCTTTGCAAAAACAAAAGGGGAAAAAGTTTCATCAAACAATTTTTTTTGCAAATCCAATTATCCTCGAAGGAGGCAATTTTGTGCTTGGTCCGTTATATACGGGAAATTTAAGACAAAAGGAAAAGGCTGAAGAAAAAACATGACGAAGGTAGAACTGATTGCTAAAAGAAAATGTAATCTATAGGTAACACAGTCAGAGGGCTACTTTATCTAATTAGAAAGGTAGAACAGGGCTCCGTACAGAAATATGTGATACGTAAATACCAGAAACACAAATCCTTCTGTGTTTCTTGGATTTTATGACTCCCAGGCTGGAAGGCAAGCATTTCAAATGCTACTGCAATCAATCACCCTGCCAGGATAACTCTATTTAAACCAAAGCCAATGTTCTGTTTTATTTATTTCACCTCTCCCAACAATGAAAACTATTGAATATATTTACGCAAATCATTGCAGAAAATGAGCTGCCATCTTTTTCTGACTTCACGATAAATTATTATTGCAGATACTATTCATAGATTTTGACACAGGCTGAGTTATGTTTAGACATTCTGCATGTTTTAGATTTGCAAATGTTTTTGCAGACCATTCACAATAGTGCAATACCTAATACTGTACCTAACGTTATACTGAATGCCTAAGAAATGTCAAAAGCTGGGCATACCTTAAATTAAGTGCATTATTAATAGAGTTCTTCAGTCTATACACTTCATTGACAAGTTAACAATTATGGTTTTCAGAGAATAGAAAATGGTTCACTAGACGTATTTCTATATACGTTTCACTCCTTGCATGGAATAAATGAATAGCAGAAAGCATCAGATCTACAGAACATGACTTTTATTAATAAAAACATACTTCTACTTGCCTCTCAGTTCAGAATAAATTCAAAAGATTCTACGAGAAGCAAAGCAGTAATAACAGGTCATGTATCAAAGGACACTCTTATTAATGTATAAATGCAAAATACTCAGTTGCTGGAAATCTGAAACAAAAACAGAAGTCGCTAGGAACACTCAGCAGGTCAGACAGCATCTATGGAGAAAGTGAATCAACGTTTCAGGTCCACAATCCATCGTCAGAAGGATTTTTCTCCGTAGATGCTGCCTGACCTGCAGAGTGTTCCAAGCAACTTCTGTTATTATCAATGAATACTTTGCTTAACCTTATTTTTCTTAATTTGGCCATTTGGAAAACCTTTTAGAAACTCGAAACAAGATTAGGCCATTCAGCTCCTCAAGTCTGTTCCCCCATTCTAAAAGATCATGGCTGATCTATACCTAAAGCCCAATTACCCGCCTTACCCTGGATCCTTTAACACCTGACCTAACAAATATCTATTTAGCTCCGTCTTGACTGAGGTGGATTGAAAGGAAACTGGTGGAAAGGAAACTGTTGAAGACATTACACATTTTAACCATCAATGAAAGATTGGAGATGTTCCATGGACAACATTTAACTAAATATTGTTTCATCTACTCCTCATCAGCTCCACTCACCCTTTTCGATGCTGTGTAGAGCCTTAGATTTACTTTCAGTTATCGGTGTGAGACCAGCTGGCACCAGCCAACTCTTACACTCAACCAGAAACCAGACATCAATATGCGCTTGAATAGTAGACAGACTTTCAGAGATTTTGCTAACTTGAAACAAGGCCAGGTTAATTGGAACTTTAAATGTCGAGGACTCCAGTTCGAAGGTGATGTATTAAGTACAAACCTTACTGTTACCTTTCAAATCAATCCATGGGTCTGACTGCATTTATTACTACAATCCTGTAACATGATTTTTGGGGGGGTTTGTGAGTGATGTCTTATTTTGTCCCTCTAATTTCATTTCCTATCCAAAGACAGTGACTTGTGTTCCATACTCACTCGGGTACCTCACCCAAGGCTTCATGTGTAAGCTGAGAATGAGTTTTGACAGGTTTTAAGACTGCGGGGCACTTGATAACTAAGACCCTTGTCCCTACCTGACGTGCGCAAACAGATACTTTCCAGCTCTATACCCAGCACTACATGTATCAAGCCCTTTGAGACTTTGTTTTTAATGTGTAAGGCACTACATGAATGCATGTTGCTGTTTTTATAGATTAGTTGGTGATATTTAACTAAAATGTAGATGATGAATTTTGATCATATGTGGTATCCGGTATTAAAAGTAGTAATCCAAAACATTGATGTATTGGGAAATGTGACCCATTACAACTGAGAAAAAAAAAACCCTAGCAGCTCATTGTCTGACCTTTCTGGAGTGAAATGTTTCAGACTTGGAGTCAGTACCTTATTATGATCAATTTCTTTCCTCTTGTCTTACCACAAAGCTATTTATACAGCCATAATGTTTAACAAGCTTAGACTGCAGCCATGGTGAAGATGCTCAGAACCTTAGACCGAAAGGATATTGTTTGAACACTCAGTGTTGCAAATGGCTCTAAATTCTGAAAAATGGTGTCATAACGTCTTTTATCGAGGGTCCTGCAGTGCTTTTCTTCTGCTGAATGTTATCGGAGTTGACAGTGCGGAGGTATCGGCAGATGTACCTTTTTCATTTCTAGAAGATTACCATGATAGCTTGTAAATGCAGGATTGTTATGTTCAAACCAATCTGGTTTTTTTTGTAAGCATTTATATTGAATAGCTATTTAGGCACAATTCACTGCTCCCAGACATTTGAGCTGCTTTTCCTGCAGCTTTCCCTTGCCATTTATTCCTATGTGCCATTATACCAACATAGCAAGGAAGGAATCTTCATTTTAGGTTATATCTGGACTGAACTAAGTCACCGCCAGATTGCCACCAATACGCCCATTGGTGTATATTTAGCTTAATGACATGAAATCTACAGAATCACGATTTATTTCTGTGTGTTACCATAGAATCTACTTGTGTTTTGTGTTTGATGTATACAGTAAGTGCAGCTGTAGAGAATAATTGTCATTTAAAAGAATGCCCTTCAGACAACATGCTTCACCAAAGGTGCCGAGTTTGAAGCAGGTTTGACTATGAGTCCTGTTTTAATTGAACCCTAAACACTAACGTACAGTGTCTCTACAGTCTCTTTCTTCACTACTTTCTTTAATAATAATCCCTCCAAAACCAAAACCAATAATAAATTGCTCATCTTCAATCTATGACTGTTTGTGGGACATTGCTGTGCGCAATTGGCTGCCGCGTTCGCCCACAAATATACAGTCAATTCACTTTACAGTGTGTTCTAAGAAGTGCTTTGGGACGTCCTCCCGACGTGAAAAGCGCTATATCAAATGCAAGGATTATTATTATTATTATTACTAGGTGCAGGCAAATCATAGATTTCTGATACCTGGATTCCTAAATCAGTTTTAATAATAATAATAAATTAATAGTAGTAGTAATAATAGTGTCTTACACGTCAAGGGGACATTACAAAGCTTTTAACATGATATACTGTACAGTGCAGTCTCTGTTTGTGTTTTGTTGGCAAACACAGCAGCCAATTTGCACTCAGCAACGTCCCACTCACAGTCAGGAGGACATCTCAAAGCATTTCACAAGTTTCTACTCTGTAATATATTGACAATTTTGTAGGCGAACGCAGCAGCCAATTTGCCCACAGCAGCCATGAAACAAATGACTGATTTTAATTAGAGACTTTTTTAAAAATCTTTTTCTTAGAAAAAGAAAATAAGAAAACGTTTCACATCCGTGATTCCAATTCATTTGAGGATTGAACTATAAAATGTAGATTTTATTCCTGTTTTTCTTTCTTTAATACCATAATGGATGATTGGATGCCAGATACAATTGGTGGGTGCAGTTAAATCTTCACAATCTCATAACTGGTTTGCTAAGAAAAATTCTAATTGGATGAGGATTTAAATTAACTGTATCTGAAAATAGCCAGCGTTGCAAAACTTGTATCAGAATCTATATAAATACTCTTTGCAAAACAGGAAATGTGGGAACTGAAGTGCATTTTTTTTGGTGGGGGAACTTCTTAGACTTCAAAAGGAATGCATCCGGGCAAAATATGACTGTGCAATGATTGTATTTAGTCTGCTCAGCATTACAGACTCAGTAATTTGGCAAAGGTTTATGCTTAAAATATTTTTTTCATTTGAGTGTTGACTTGGATGAAGAATTATATACAAATTGGTGTTAATGGGAAGAGGTTTGAAATATTGTTGCGAATCACTATGTCTATCAGGAGCAGACTGCTAACTTGGGACCGCACTTTAAGTGGAGCTGCACTCAGTATTCTTGCGTTGTTCTGTCAAATTGACTGATTAACAAATTGTCGCATTGTGACGAATAGGATCTAGATCTAAAATCTCATGGGACCGACCACGAACTTGTATATCAGCATCGGCTGCAATGTACACAATCACAGTTCCCGATTTCAAGTCTGAAGACACCTGCAGTCACCATTTGACCCAACTGTTTAGGGGAAGGGCTGCAGATATTGGAGGGTGGAATTTTCCAGTGATAATTATGACATTAGACATTGTGGTTATCACCCTATATTTAGCCTGATTGTTGTGAAATGCTAACTGACGGGTGAAATATTGTGGAGTCCTGTAGCTGGTGGTTAGAACACTCGCTTCACAAGCGAGAGAGCTGTGGGTTCGATTCCCAGCAGGGCGACATGTTGGGCAAGTTTCCTTACTCCACACGCCTCTGTTTGCCTAACAATAAGTAGGAACCTGGATAATAGTTGATTGGCACATCGCTTTTCTGGGGGCAGTAATTCCTTAAAAAAAAGTTAAAAATAATAATTTGGTCACTCAATCCACAACTGTTTGTGGGACACTGTTGTGTGCAATCAGCTGCTGCATTTCGCCCACAAAATATACAGTCAATTCTCTTTACACTATATTCTGAGAAGCGCTTTGAGATGATGTGATAAGGCGTGATATTAAATGCAAGGATTATTATTATTATTGCCGCTCATTACAGATTTGGGCTCACTTCTTATACTGACCTCTTCAGTTGTACATTATAGAAGCTGCATTTTTTTCTGATCACAAGTTACAGTGGCTACAGCTCTGGGTGTAGCTATTGATTCTGCGTAGATACATGGGATTGTAGATTCCTGCTACGTCATCAATCTTACTTTGGATGGCAGAAAACATTACCCATGGAGCAGATATCCAGGTGGAAAGCAATTGCCTTTATTTGTCAGACTAAATAAGTTTTTAAAACCAACACTGATCTAATACAATGTAAGGTCAAGCAGGTGTATTTACAGATCAATTGCATTGATATTGATTATAGTACTTTGCAAATATAGGTCGGATGGATTTTAAACCAAGACACTAAATGTACAATGTTTAGTACAACTCTTTAACTTGTCTCTGTTCATTAACAAAATCTTGATTGCTGTTTTGAAAACCTCAGTGAGCTCCTCTGGTAAAACCTTGCGGGGGTTAAACATCATATAGTGTGGAAGGTTACAGATGTGAACCCAGCCTATGCTGAGCTGGCTTGGATGAGAGTCAGTAAAAGTGTTACAATTGGCCTCAACACCCTTGGCAGTCAAACATTGGAGGAAAAGAAGATCTTTGACACTGTATGTTGCTCAAAATGTGTCAAGAAATTGCTGCTGGCTTTGTGTAATAACAACTGACTTTGTCTGTGTCCCCAGGTCACGCACCATCAGACTATAAATTGTTGTCTGTACAGATTATGATTCGCCACGGAGACAGGTACCCCCTCTATGCCATTCCGAAAACAAAACAGCCGCCCATCGATTGTACACTGAACCCTGGCAGGTAAGTTCACTTCAGAGGGTTTTAAAAAAAATAGAATGTGCCTTTCAAATCCTGGCAGCGGAGTGAAGTACTGCAATTAAATGAAAGTAGTTGTTATCTCGCAAAGTACTTTTGGATGAAATGATTTTTGCATTCATGAAGTGGTCGGGGAGAAGGAAACGTAAAGAGACACATGCAAACAAGTGAATGACAGCTTTCATTAAATACCATAAAACTTGTTTCGTTGCTTCCAACAGAATAGGTGCCGGAGGCTGCTGGTGACCTTCTTTGACACCGCAGTCAGTTCTCTCTCTCTCTCTCTCTCTCACTCTCTCTCAAATTGGTGAACCATCGTGGCATAACTCAGAGTGGGTCATCTGACTAACAGAAGTCAATGGCTCTATTTGATGAAAGTGGCTGTATGTGTAAAATACGAAACAATACAAAATGACATTTGTCCAGCACCTTTCACATCGGCAGAAGTGCCCAAGGATAAATAGAACGGATCTTATTTAAAGTAGTAAAGAGAATCTGAATTTGTTCCCAATTCTTTACTCCTGCCACGTCATCAGAATCTGGTAGCTCAATATGAGCTCCAAGTCGTTTTGAGGCCCATGGTGGGGTTTGTTTCTCATGTCTTCTGAAGCCGGATGATAGACAGTGACAGGCAGCTAGATGTTTATGCCCAATCGCTGGTTGCTTTAATCCATTGTCGTCTTTCGAGACGTCCCACACTAGAATAAAATGAAAACAATTGTTTAGTAACAAAATGTGCATATATATTATGAACACATGCAACATGTTTGGTTAAATGCCAAGTTTGTTTCTTGAACAAAAAGGTAATTTTCTCCAACCCACCCAAGCAAAATATTCAGTTCTATTTTAGTGTGCTGGTGGGGCATGGTGAACCCGCGAGAACAATGTTCCTCAGCAAGATGTTTTTTGGCTGAAGTACAAACTGACCAACTGCAGTGAACCTGGACACAGTAGCTTCAAAAACCGAGCATGTATTTCAGCTCCAGGGCTCAGTGTAAGTGTGATACTGGAGCCATGGAAACAAAGGGGGAAATTGCCATAAAAGGATTGGGTTTGGCTTTCAATGGAATTTGCTCTTCTCCACCTCACTGTTGAGTAGAACATCTTGTGTGATTTTGCATCACATCTGTGGGTAAAATAGCGTCCCACAGTGTATGTTTTAGCAGTTACCAGAATTCCTGTATGCCCAGAGGATGGGTTTGGGGAAGAGAATTTCTCCTCTGTACTGTAAATGTCTATGGTTCTAGGATGGAGGGGGAGGTAGATGTGATATTGTGGAGATAGAAGAGAGCAGACATTGTCAGAACCTGGACAACAGCTTTAAAGGAGTGCTCAAAATGCTGAAGGTAAAAAATCCTTCTTGCCTCACATTGTGCACATTTCGTGTCAATAAGACTCTGAGATTTATATTTCAATGGCTCACAAGTCCTATTCAGCATCTAAATGTAGAGTGGCTTATCTCAACAATGTGTCCCTGGGAGCCATACAGAAACATGTACCAGTGAGTGACATGTTATAACAAGGTCTCTGTTAATGAATAATGTGTGTACTGTGCAAACCCAGAGTGTGTTCTACAGAGAGGACACCATCCTTTTACACTAGCTGCTCTATTCGGACATGAATTTTGGGACATCAGCCTACAAACTGAGAAAGCAACAATTTCCCTGAAATTCCACGTAAACAGAACAAGCTGAAAACATAACATGCTGGAAGGTTGTTGTGTGTGGAGTAAACTCTGATCACTTGTTTGGTTTAAATTATAAGGGCGTCAATTAATAGTGCCATGATCAAACAAAGGGAGATTTCAAGGCTTACACTATAATGTCAGCTGGGGGAAGATCTGGTGTTTGATTGAATGCAGTACATTGTTTGGTATTTCTTTGAATGCTGTATGACTATTGTAGCTGTTATCTTGCTCAGTAGGGTGTATATGTTTTACTTTTATGTTTTGCTGAGTACCAGGCAGGTCAGAGGAGCTCAGCAGTGGTCAATGTGACTGAACATTCAGATAATGCAGTGTCTGGGCCCTTCTGAGCGTGCTTAAAGGGTCTTACAACATGCTGGAAGCTTTTCAAGAATGGTTAGCATCTTAGTGGCACAGAGAATGGTTGAATACAGGATCAAATTGCACTCCCATGCCAAGAAAGGATCGGATTGCAGAACCAATTGACGTGGCCGTATAAGTACACAAAGCTCAAAAATCCCTCTGGGAGAATTTGGATGTAACTGGTTTTACTGACTCCAGCTATCTCGGCTGATAGTTTCTGACATGTGTCGTTTGTTTTGCATTCCATAGAAATTGTTTCATCTTGGTGAGACTGGAATGGACTCTGAATTAAGCTGTGCCTGTAATTATATTTAATACTGGAGGTCTGGTATAAAATATAAGTCTGCTGTAACTCAGTTATCCTAGTGTTTTAGCATCCTTTTCCTGCTGATACTGCAGATACTGACTCATGTTGGATCCAATTCTGCAGAAACTGGCAGCCCTTTGGCACCTTTTCTCACTTACTCTTCATGTGTAAGCCAAGGCCACAAGTGTTAGCAGGTTATTTGTTGGAGTGGGTGTAAATGCGGAATCCTGTAGCTCAGTGGCTGATTCACGAATGTTTGTCAAGACACTTTCGCGCACAAAATATACAGTCAATTCACTTTGCAGTATATTCTGTGAAGCACTTCAAGATGTGTTCAAATGCAAGGATTGTTATTGTTAAAATTCACAGGTGAGCCTGCTCCAGAATCAATGTCCACTTCACAGCAAGAAAATCACTAAAGATCGATAAGAATAGGAATTGTATTTGATTTTTCCTATGCTTAGCAAATAGTAGCACACTTGCAGTCACCCCAGCTGTAAGGTCAGTTAACTCTGTACAGATTAGGGATAAGCCCTGGGATCTCGGATACAGGCATAGCTTACTGTCACACCAATGAACCATGTACAGACCTATCTCTTTGGCTCTATTTGAAATGGTGCTTAATTGTGTTGAGGCTTGTGTTCGTTTACACTTTAGAACAGAGTCCTATGGATACGACTGGAATACTGGTTATATAAACAAGACACAAGTTGTAGATGACTTTAGAACCAACTTCATCAAATTGATAAAAGGCTTCAGCTAAAATATATAATCAGATTTGGCTTTGCTGTGGTGAACTAACAACAGCAACTAACACTACCCCCTAGTGGCAATCAGAAATTCTACTAGACAAAACACAAACTAACCCTGGCTTGCTGCCCAAAGTACAAAGAAAAATGCACAACCTTAATGATTTATGAGTTAAAATGTAATGGGCATGACTGATGTAAAATAAATTGTCTTGTCATTTGAAGCAACACTGAATGATTTACATTTGTGCTTAAGATAGGCATCACTGCATTGATTCCATGCCAAGCTACACGATCTAGCAGTTATAGTTGACAATGGTTGTATTTTCAAGGGAATGGACATGCCACGTCAGTTTTAAATAAAATACCAATTTGAGTTCACAAAGGGGTGAGGATGATCCCTTGCTGACTGGATCGATACATGAAGCTACCTGTCAGGATCTTTGAATGACAACAGTGGATTTTGCACTTATCCTGTCCATTTATGTGAATCGACCAATTTGTTGGTTAAACATGAACTTAACATCAAGTATTCTTTCCATTGAATAACAAGTATTGCTTTGAGTAACAAGATCATCTAGTCTTACTCACATGGTGAGCTAAAGCTCTGTGTTTTGTGAAAATTATTGGGTGAACTTCTTATTCTGTTGACATCTCAAAAACATGAAGATTTAGATGTTGATGTACAGAGCTGATTGACAGTGGATTACTGTAGTTGCAAAATGAATGGCTTCACGTGAATAGAGCTCTTTTGTTCATTGCAATAATAAATATAGTGGCTTTTTCTCTGTTCTGCTCTATGACAAAATATTCATTTCCTGCTTTGGGTCATCTTCCTTTGCGACAATGCTTGGAGTCTGTTGTAGTATTTGGTGTGCTTGATCCTCAATACCAGATGAGTAGTGTGGTGCTGGAACAAAAGTCGTTCCTTGCAAAGGCTCTTAAAACTTGGTTTGAGATTTATTACTTTTGGTTTGAAAGGAAGTATTGTATTTTGTAATAATAGAAATAAGCAGAGAAACTCTATTGAAGCTTATCGTTCTAGGGAATTCAAAGCGTACAGACAAATTGATGCATTTGGCTTGCCACTTATTTTGGTCGAAGAATCACTGGATGTTATCACATTGTCAATACCCGGCAGGTTTTCTTTCAGGTGATGTACTGGTGTAAAGATTGTATTCGGGTAACTGAGGCAGGAGGTTTGATGTTGATCCTGTGTTGTGTCAATCAGCTGGAAAACTATGCAGAACGTTTCTGTGTTCCCAGTTCAGCTCTTGACATTCCATTAACTTGATCTTTACCTACTATGAGACCTCGGGAAATCTGAAGTTGTAACATTTTTATGGCGTGATACACACTAGGACTTCTAATCTAGGTTGACATTTCAGTATGGCAATGAGAGAGAGAGAGAGTGCTGTATTGTTGGATATGCTGTCCTTCATATGAGATGTTAAAGCAAGGTGCCGGATACCTGTTCTCATGGTTTACAATAACTTTACAATAAATCCTACAAAAAACTTTTGAGACATCCTACCAAAGAGACATCCTATCAAATGCAAGGATTATTATTATTACTATTATTATTATTATAACAACGCAGTAAGCCTCCAGATGGATAATGACTGCTGTGTGTTAAAGAGCTGCTACTTTTAAATGTTTACATATATATCTGGGGATATTAATAGTTATTTTTCTGTTGCAAGAGAACCATCTCATCGACGACTGAAAGACTTCATCAAGCACATAAACAAAGCTGATAAAGGTCGACTTGACGGCCCCTTGAACAACATTGCACTCCTCCCCACTCACACAGTCTGTGAGATGGGGGAACTAACTCAGACAGGTGAGATAGATACCTGGCAAACACTTAGGCCAATGTGTTTTTCTTTTGGACTGGCTCCATATCCAGTGCATCCAGTGAAAGTGAGGAGAGATTGAATGGTGATTCAGTGATATATGGAGGTTGTATCCGCGGCACATCCACATCCTCCAGAGTGTGTGACTCTGGAGGAGGTGAACAGTGCTACGTTAAGAGTTCGACCTGTGTGAATTGCAGCAGGAAGAATGAATGTAAATAGCAGCAATGAGGAGACTTATTCAGACAGTCAGGGAATGCAAGAATGAAAGGTGTATCACTGCCCTCCTACACACAGGCAACTGGACAGTGACAGATGTAAGCAAAGTACACATCCAGTATAGCACGGACTTGCTCTATACCAGGCACATCACATTTTGTCCACAAAATATACCGTTGATTCACTTTACAGTATATTCTGTGAAACGCTATATCACATGTAAGGATTATTATTATTCAATGGGGTCAGTCTGTCTCGGTTTTTCTTTTCTTTTAATGTTTTGTACAGTAACCAGCCTTTTGCCTTTTTTTTCTTCCCCCTCGTTTTGTCCTGTGCAGGTGTTGTCCAGCATCTCCTGAACGGGGACCATTTGCACGACACGTACATCAAGAAACACAAGCTGCTGACCGACGGCTGGGCGACCAAACAACTCTACGTGGAGTCGACAGGCAAGAGCCGGACCCTGCAGAGCGGGCTGGCTTTCCTCTACACCCTGCTGCCAGCGTTCGAGTGGGAGAAGATCCACATCCGGCATCAGTGGAGCACTATTTTCTGCTCGAACATCTGCGACTGTCCCATGCGTAATCACTATCTGGAGGAGGAGCAGAGGCGCCAGTACAACCTGCGGGTCAAAAACAACCTGCTGGAGAGGACTTACGTAGACATGGCAAAGATCGTGGGCATTCCCACCAGGCAGCTGAGAGCGGCTAATCCCATTGACTCGCTGCTGTGTCATTTCTGTCACAACGTCTCCTTCCCCTGCACGGAGCACGGCTGCATTGACCTGAAGCACTTTAAAGTCATCAAGGCACACCAGCTGGAAGATGAGCAAGACAGGCAGAGCAAAAAACTGTACTACAAGTACGCCCTGCTCGCAACCCATCCCATCTTAAACCAGACTGTCTCCCGCATGCTGCGGGTCGCTCAAGGGAAAAAGGACGAGATATTGGCGCTCTACTCGGCTCATGATGTGACAGTGGCTCCCCTGCTCAGCGCTCTGGGCGTCACCGAGGCCAGGTTCCCCAGGTTTGCCGCCCGAATAGTGTTTGAGATTTGGCAGAATGTTAACGACAAAAAGAAGCAACACTTTGTCCGCGTCCTTTACAACGGTGACGACGTCACATTCCAAACCACCTTCTGCCGCGACCACAGGGTCCATTCCAAACAGCTCCTCTGCCCTTTCGAGAATTTTGTACGTTTTGTACGGAAGGACATGTTTGCAGTTTTCAACAGCACAAACTATTATGACGCCTGTCACCGGCGGGTATTTTGAATATTTTTTTGGTGGTGAAAGTGCTCGTGGAATACTAATGTAATTCTGTGTGTGTTGTGTACTTTGAATATTACTGTATACTGACTGGGGTTCCTGCTGCTCAATTTTAACAATGACATTCCATTCCCAGCGGCAGAGCAGTTTGATTTCCCTGCCAATAAACGGTCATGTGGATTGTATGGCATTATACACTCCGTGTGAGGTTGTGTTCCAGGAACTCTCGACTGCACCACTTCACGTTAGTCTGTCCCTCAGTGAGGCTGAATGAGGCTCAATAATGTAAGAAGGTCTTGGGATTGAGCCCTCTCTTACTTGGAGAGCATTGGTGCTTTGCTGTCAACAGGAATACTGAGAAGTCTGCTTCAGTTAAGGGAAAGAGCTAAATAAAGTTGTCCGTTCCTTTGTTTGACATTGAAAGACCTGACACGAGTTTGTTACAAACATGGTGATCTGCAGGTTGCAGTATTTAAAGAAATTAATCCTGCATGTTAAACTGGTTTTGTTCGTAATAATAAAATATTTCTAAAGGTGTGTGTCGTCTCATGTGCACAGTCACATCCACAAATGAAAGCAATTGTTCTTCACATATAAGAGAATGATTTAATGACTGAATTCCACTGAGCTATTTTAAGGGTGTTTAACTGGAGGGAGAAACTGTTGCTATTTATTCTGCGAAAGCCTCCTGCCATGCTTGGCCAGTTGAGCAGATAAATTTCGGGCCTTTTCTCTCTGCTGTCCCTGGCACAGGATTAAGGGCCAATTACTGCAGGTTGAGTGACCTGAGGGACAAGAGAAGATCTGAGTGACTGCCTTTCACTTTGAGTGACGGGCGTTCACAATGAGTGACTTGGCAGATCTGCTGAAAAGCATTCAGTGATATTTACGACTTTCATATGCAAAGTGCTCCTGCTCACTCGCCCCCTCCCCAAACACCCCCCACACACTCACACCTCCACACACTCACACCCCCACACACACATCCTCACACACACACAATCCTAAGAAATAGCAACAGTTACTGCTGGGTAGAGATAGCTGTGATGATATAAGGACAATTTGGAGGGGGCGATTGAAATTGAGTTCACAGAACACTGACTTTTTTCTGTTTTGTGTTTACCACTTAATGTTTATTAAGTCATAGTGAGAATGTGACTTCCTTCTTTATTATCGTTCTTGGCAAACTTTCTGTGGCAAATATTTGATCATTTGCTCGTTAGAGATTGGCACAATCCATTTCGAGTTGAATACCGCAATTGGTATGGAGGGATAGGTAGAGAGTTAGCTGAATAAATTCTTCACAGGACTTGATGGTTTCCATGATGCTGGGGATAAAGGGTTTGGGAATGTTGTTTGAGGAGGGAAGGAGAACAAGGAAATTTTGGAATGAATGAATGAATGCAGGGCAACCTGGCTATTGAGTGAAGTCAATAAACTACTTTTTTTATTTCGTGAGGTGTTCCGAATGTATTTGAGAAGTTGGTCACTATCAGTTTCAAATGGGGGGGAAAGAAAAATATTGGGAACAAACAAATCTTAATAGTGAGCTGCTGGTTAGTGAATTGAGGTACCCACAGCTGTATTCTGCTATTTTTAGGGATCAGGGAGTACCTATCTAAAATTAACTCCCTTCCACTTCGATATAATGTATGGGGCAGAGGGGAGAGGGGGTTATAGGGTATACAGTGCTAGACCATTTAACCTATCAAGCTGACTTCCTTCACAGGTGTGCTATCAGACCATATTCCACCCATTCATTCTCTTGGGAAAAGTTATTACACTATATATAGATACTCCTTGACCCCCCCATTCCCCAAAAGTAGTTGAGCAGAAACTCTCAGCATTGACATCACCAACACTTGACTGTAATATGTACCTCTCAATGAGTTAAGCCTATCCCCCACTTTCCTTCACAAAACGCGAGAAGCCATTTCCTCTTTGCAAAATCTGTCTATCAGGCCATTGGATCCACAAACATTATTGTGTGCACAAATCCCAACTTGTCACCTCTCATTAACTTCACTTTTTATTGGATTTTCATAGAATTTGAGAAAGCTTACCTTTATCAAGAATCTGGCATCTTTTCATATTACAAGGCACACCCCACAAAGTAAATTTCATTTGGCTGTAATGAATGACTATTGGCCTTGGTGATTTTGATTTTAAATCCATTTCTATATGTCTTTCCCATATCACACCCACTCCGTAAAGCAAAAAATACAACACAAACAATTTTCCAATTGAGTCTTTGGTTTACTCCTGACCTCCAAATACAGGCCCCAAAACCATATTCCTGCAAAAACATTTGCAGAAGTGGCCCTGGTGCCAAGTATACATTTAGAAATATTGCACGAGTAACAAAATAGCACACACAGCTTTTGATTGTGAAATATGTTTGCATTAACTCAACATCCTTGAAACAGGAGCTGTTTATTTTGAAGCAATAGTTAGATATCTGTGTGTGTTTTCTGATACTTGCTTCCTTTCCATATTTCATGCTTTGCCATCGTTCTCACAAAGCAATGTTTGTCAATGTTGGACTGCAATTTTTGCTGACTATGTGACAACTTATACATTTATATGTAAGATCCTATCTTCAAGTCAACCCAAAGGGCGTGACTCTTGCTTGCTGTTGCACATCGGCCATTCTTAATCTTTGAGATGTGGCACTGAGTGTTGGCAGTCGATTTGATTTTGAGAGATCTCAAAGCCAAGCCTGGTTGACACCCACACACGTCCATGGGAAATTGGACAGCGATCAAGTGAGGGAACCTTGGCTGATTTATTTCCCTCCCAGACCAGTGGCAACTCCCAATGTTTCCACTAATTAATCCCTTTTTAACTTAAGGCGGAAAAATCTTCTTTAATTTTCTCTAATAAATATTGAAACTAAGTGGAATGTACTTCAAATAATAATAGCAGAAAAAATAAGGATAAAACGAGATTGGAAGAATTACAGGACAAGCACAGATAAAGTTTTGGAAATGTTATGTTTAATTGTTTAATTGTAATAAACCCTATCCTGATATATAAGTAAGTAGCTTAAATCCTAGAGAACCAGTTGGCCAGTACAGACTAGTCTCTAGAGAACCTATGAACAACGTAAGGGAAGGAGGGAGATTCTTGTTTGACCTCGATCGGTCATATCAACAGCAGTTAAATCAAAGGCCAATTACTCATAAAGGAAAAGGCTCCCTCCAGTGCACAAGAAGCGGGCGATTGCTTGTGGGAATGAGAAAGGTTCGATTTTATATTTAAAACGTGGTTGGGCTTCTGTTTTGACATTCAGAAAATTGTATGTTAGATTTATTAGCCATGTATTATGGGTGCTTTATTGGAGAGTGCATTCAACAAGCACAAATGCAAACACTTTTTGTTCGCTTCAGTTTTTATTTTGATCGACTGAATGTTGTCGTTGAATTCTACAGGAAGCACAACTCTCCTTGTGCCAGTATTTTGAAGATCAGCATCGCGGCAACTGTATAGCTCCACTGTTTAACCAGTTTTGCCTGAAGTACAGCAACAAAAATAATTTGTTTAGATTTACTTTGATTAATGGGCAACAACAACAACACGTAAGAGCATAATGCATAACTAGCCTGGTCCTCACACTGTCTAACTTGTTTGCAAATCACTTCTACGGGAATTAGCTTGTACATTTACAACAAAATAGCTGATCCCTCTAATTATTTCTTTAAGACTCCACTTTGAAGTCAAATTATCAGGAGTGCAGATTAGTGCTGACAGCAATGTAACGTTTGACAAGCGTCTGACAGTATAGGGTAATTACGGTGACTGTCACAAATGATGCAGATAGCATGGCAATTAGTAAGTGCAAGGACAGCGCCACACACCACTGATGTAGTGAACCGAGGCACATTAAAATCAACATATTTGGAGAAATATGAGACGCAACTTAATTAAGAGTGACTATCAATGAACCTCGCCGGGTAGCTCAGCACCATACAAGATTTTATTTTTGATTACTGCAGTAATTGAACCCTCTGTATGTGGGAGCCTCCTTTTGACGTTCACGCAAAATATTAATATCTACTTTCCATCAACTGCATCTGCATTTTTAAAAAGAGCAGCCAGATTTGTTTGCTGTGATTTGTTTTACTCTGAAACAATAGTTGTATCAACCACCTTTATAGATAAAGTATATATAATGTATAATATGTACATATTTGAAAGATTTAAGTGTTTCACACATTGGTGGGTCATTCTGGGATCCTTTCGTTCACCTCAATGAGTTACATCGAGTTACATTGAACAGAAACAAGCCAAGTAGACCATGCCGGTGCATATAGTCCACCAAAGCCCCATCTCTCCTATTCCCCTCACCTGTACCTCTCTATTCCCTGATCCCACCTGTCAGAGGATTGCACATTAGATTTGCCTCTGCAGCTGTGAAGCTGCAATGATGATTTTGACTGGCAGCAGGTGTGTCTTTCAGTCAGAGGTCAAGATTCTGAGGCACTGCGGAGTGTTGTTGAACTGAATTAGCCACACTTGGGAGCTTGGCAACATGCAAGTTGAAGAATGAGCATCATTTTCCAGAATAAGGGGAATGAGAAGCGAGCAAGCCAAAGTCTCTGGAAGTCAGAAGAGATCAAATACAAGCTTCAGTGGAAGTAAACAACTGTGAGTACTGAAACTGAAAAGCAGCTGAAATGAAAGGCTGATGCAAACTCTTAGAAATCAAGGAATGTGGTAAAGAAAATGACAGAGAAAGAGTTTAGCAGTCGTTTTATCATTGTATTCTTATTTTTCTTTTTAATTTAACTTGGGATAAGGACACCTTTTCTTAATGCTACCATTTGTAAGTAGGCCTTCATGTAAAGGTGATGAAGAATTTATAAGAAAGGGTGGCAGAGGCCGATTCGATAACTACTTTTAAAAACGTGGTGGACGGGTATTTGAGGAGAACGGGTTTGCAGGGTTATGGGGAAAGGGCTGGGGAGTGGGATTGACATTACATTGCTCTTTTCAAAGAGCCAGCCCAGATTTGATGGGCCGAATGGCCTCTTTTTGTGCTGTATGATTCTATGACAAGTGTTGATTAGCTCCCTTCCTTTAGAGGAAAGGAACGACTGCAAAACAAAACCTTTGGGAGGAATGGAGGAGGTGCTTTGCACCTTGATTTGTTTTTTCATCCTTTTCCTATCTCATAAATAGAAGCACATCACAAGTCTCCATTCCTGTAATGCTTTACTCTGTAATAATCAGCATTTGTATTTGTTTTTCATTAAATATCAATTGGGGGCAATTTTCTTCCTGTCTGTAAAATTTACGTGTGAATAGTGACAGGAGGTGATTGGAGTTTTGGCGGTGCAGACAATTTGTCTGTTTAAAATAGAAGTTGCAATTTTCCACCTAGTGGTTTGCAAACACCTTGTTAAAAAAGCAATTAAAGCATTTAATTGATGCTGGAAGCCAATTAAACTGGGAAATCTGCAATTTTCTGGTATCTCTGAGGCTTGGGAGTGTTGAATCGTTGTCTGAGAAGCCACAAAGATGACAAAACATTTATA